CATAAACGCCGGTCTCCCCACAACGTCCTCTCGAAACTTCACCCACGCTCCAAAAAATCCCAGGTAAGTTCGTTCAGACGACGGCGCAAGTGCGTGCCGGACGAGCTCGAAGATAGCATGGTGGAGCACAACTCGCGCTCCGTCGGGCCTAGCTCCACGATCTGCCACGCCACATGAGGGGAGGCAGCGCACAGGTTATCATGAACATCGTTAGTATTCCAACGTGAGAGACCATCAGCAAGCGAGTTCAGTATGCCGGGAACATGGGTCGCGTGGAAATGCCACCCGCTGGCTACCTCCAGCGCCCCCGATCGAGGCTCAAGGCCCCCCCGACAACGTTCAATCCACGCCGTCGCTGCTTCGTTGTCTCCTCGAAGTCGAACAANGGAGGCAGCGCACAGGTTATCATGAACATCGTTAGTATTCCAACGTGAGAGACCATCAGCAAGCGAGTTCAGTATGCCGGGAACATGGGTCGCGTGGAAATGCCACCCGCTGGCTACCTCCAGCGCCCCCAGTAGGCGCACCAGCGCCCCCGATCGAGGCTCAAGGCCCCCCCGACAACGCTCAATCCACGCCGTCGCTGCTTCATTGTCTCCTCGAAGGCGCACACAATCACCCGCCTCCACAGGCTGGTGACTTCGGCCCAATACCAACATCCATGCCCCCATGACCATGCCAAGGAGCTCTAACACGTTGATGCTGACATCATGAACCCCCTGGACCGATTTGCTCGACCCCACAAAGCAAGCTTGCTCTTCCACAGACAGATCATATCGAAAGAAGTGGTCCGTTTGCAAACGATACCCTCCAATTGCTTGCTTAGACGCATCGGTTAACACGGATAGTGCAGGCGGGCGTTCCAAAATGTTGTACATGGGCACACACAAACTTCCGCCGCGCAACGAGAGACCATGACCGTGGAACCACCGCCAAAATTCGAGATCATCGTGGAATAATGGACCCAGCACTACACGTCTGTTCGGGCTCGGCACTTGGGACGCGAAAGTAGACGAAGCAGGCATCCCTACCGCGGATAAAAGGCACCCCACAAAAAACTTCCTGGCCGCAACACGAACGAAACGTGAATGAGAAACCCTGTCAACTCGGCTACTTGACGAGCTGTAGCGACTCTCCGCGTCGCGGGCCACGCAGCCAAAAAGCGTCCCAGTCTCTGCTGTTTCGTGTCGGCCATAGTAATCGTGAGTTGCTGAGTGTCCAATGTCCAACCGAACACATCCAGACGGGTAGCGAAATCGGTGATCTATCCTTGCGACAACAACGGCGGGTCTGCTGGGCCTCTCTCTTCCAGCAGACGAAAGTGATCCGTAGCGAGAGAACGCACCGCGCGCAAACATCGGTGACCATCAGCGAAAACTTTTCCTTCAATCAACACGCCATCATCATCGAGGTATCGCACGAAAAACGGAGAACCAGCAAACGCCCCGTCGCCCACAATAGTCTGGCAATCAACAGGTAACGGCACCGTTGTACTTTCGTCTGGTGGGGACACTACTTGAACATGCTGCACAGTCGCAGCACCTGCGGGAGAGACGGACGCGTCTTGAAATGTATGTGTGTGTGAGTGTTCCAAAGCGGACGAGAACAAGGACCAAAACCCTGGGATCGACCGCCATCCAACTTGACACCGTAGGTCAACAACCGCGTGATGTCCGATCGTGTACCCAAAAACCGATGCCCGAGATGGATCCACGGGGATTTGCCGGAAGGCTTCTTTCACATCAATGCGGCAGATCAGAATTTCCAACGACACCCCGTGTACTTGTCGCAAGTACAGCACCAGCTTCAGAATGTCACTCAACACATGATCCAAGAGGCATTCAGGTGCTTGATCAAAGTCCGTATCGTGATTTACGCTCGTACGGATGGGCACGCCAGAGGTGAAAGTGAGATCGTGAATAATTCTGAACTTCGGTTCGTCGATGACGCCCAACGGCGACACTCGAACACCTAAGATTTCTCGGATGAACCGAACATCGAAAATCAACGCACGCCCCAATATCACGTCCAATACAACTTTGTCTGTGATCCGATCTCTGTGCAGTAGCGCGCTAGGATGGTCGCCATACGCCACTTCAGCGTCCAGGTTCCCACCTGAGACCACGTCAACCGGCGCACCCGGAGACAACGATCTCAGAAGTTGATCAACTCGGGGAAATTTCACTTCTCCAAAATGCGCCTTGACGCGCATCACATCGACATGGGGCAGAAAGAACNATGCGCCTTGACACGCATCACATCGACATGGGGCAGAAAGAACTTCTGGCCAACAGCGGCGACGAACCTTTCCACGCGTCCCCCACACCGTCGAAGCAAGTTTGAACCCACATGCGCCACATGGTTAAGATGGACGTACCGTTTTGAAGCTTCACACTCAGCCAACCACNTCCAAGTCGGAAGCCACTCCGGGCAGGCCCTCACAGCGCTCGCCTCGGATCCCCACGCCAGCCAAGGCCCGGGACGCCATCTCCCTATGACCTGGCTGCTGTTGCGGCCTCTCAGCTGGAACCGACACAGGAGTTGGCCCCGCCACCCGGCGGAGCCCACACCCCTATTTGCTGCCACCCCGCACCACCAAGGCCGACGACGAGCCACCACCGTCGCCACCGTCAGCCTGTCCTCCTCCCCGGACGACGCCACCACCCTGACCACCAGCCGACTCCCGCCCCCCGCCACCGCAGTTCCCGCCCCCACCACCGCCACTTCCTGTACTTCACCAATATCGGCGCTTGACGTGCTCAAACCTGCATTTGTCGCCGAAAGGGCACGTGCCAGAGTCGCGGAACTGGAAGCACTCCCTTGAGACGCGCCTCCGTGACGATGAATCACCCCGATCCAGTTGGCCCGCCTTACGCTTGCCGCTCCCGCCCCGCAACTCCCCTGTTCCGGGGAGGGATCCTCCGTCACTCAGGACCAGCCGGAATAGATTCACCCCCCGTTCACCGAAGTTGTTGATTTTGGGGAACTCGGGCACCGGCGGCAAGGTGTGGCCGTCGAACGCATCCGGCGGAAAATGCATCTTCGTGAAGGTGTACATCCAGGTGATGATGGCCGTTGCCACAATTTGACGTCCTCGTTCGGCAACCTTGGCAGTGCCGCACGCTGGTACTCGTCCGGAAACACATCACTATTCCGCACGAGAGTAGTCCGAAACCTGGAGCGCGTGTCCGTCATGGCTATGGCTACGGGTTCCAACCGCCGCAACGATTTCACACCCGTGGTCGTGGACGAATCTAGACCAAACTTCACCAGCGGCATGACCGCTTCACACATTTCGTCGAAGTTGTCTGCAATAGACGACGTGCGGGCAACCCCCACGGGCCGGAAGCTCTTGACGTCGGAAGACGAAAACGCACGCATCTGAGCGAGGACGTCGCCCGTGACGTGAACGATATCGCCCATCAAACCCTGCAGGTCCTCCTTCTGTGGCCCGGGCTCCGGCCCCCGCTGCCCCCTAAGTACCCAGAGTTTCTGATTATATTTGGCCTGCCAAATGGTGGCCTCCCTCCTCGGCTCCTCTTTGGCGTTGGACCTCGCGGGCGCACTCGCCCCCCCGCCCGCACCCCCGCCCCATGGCGACGGCACCGGCACCAGACCGAGGCCTCCCGACCCCCCGGGCCCACGACTCCCATCCTGTCCCGACTCCGGCCAGAAGTTCTTCAGCAACCCAGCGATCTTGGTAAGCTGCTNGGCCCGGGCTCCGGCCCCCGCTGCCCCCGAAGTACCCACAGTGTCTGATTATGTTTGGCTTGCCAAATGGTGGCCTCCCTCCTCGCCTCCTCTTTGGCGTTGGACCTTGCGGGCGCACTTGCCCCCCCGCCCGCGCCCCTGCCCCACGGCGACCGCACCGGCACCATACCGAGGCCTCCCGACTCCCCGGGCCCACGCGCATTCTCAGACGCGAGCGGGGTGCCCTCGCTAGGCTCCCCCTCCCCCACCGAACCCACCGACATATGGGCCAAACGCGACACTGTGAGCCTGGACTTGGTCATCCGCACGCCGGAGCTCCGGCTGGCGGTCACCGCCGGAAGCCGAGGCCCGAGCGTGACCCTGCGCGGCCGCGAGGGCTGCTGCCGGTGGCGTGGATTCACCAGCAGGTGACGTGGCTTCAACAACGCAATCATCCGCAGATGTTGGTG